ATGCAGGAAGAGATTCACAATGACCGGACTTTTATGCGGACGCTAATAATTTTTTCTATACTTCCCGATTATGCTCTCTATCACACAAATCCCTATTTTATTGCATTGGACATTACCAATATATGTGTCTAAGAAATAAAGTTTTTGATCAGTATTTGTAATTTATTTTTAGAGCAGTGGTTCCCAACCCCCGATCCGCGGACCGGTGCCAATCAAATAGTACAGCCATTTTGAACAAAACAGGCAAAAAAACTTGATTTAAACAATTCTTTTTTGAACAAATCCCTACCTGCGGGTGGTCACGGCGCGCAACAAATGCACGAGCCGCTGAAATCTTTTCCGGGTGATGCACGGCGGGATTTTGAGCCTGGTGTCAAGTTAACCACAACTCCATCATTGTAATGTAAATTCGTTTTGTTTGAAGCGTCGATAAAATGCTAATGGATTGATATGATGAACCGATGAAACCCCCACTTTACATTCCAGATTTATAAAAGAATCATTGCCACTAGGCTTGCACGTAATTGACAAAAATCAATTCCGTAATTACGGCCAAATCGATTACGTAATGACCCCGTAATTGCGATATTTTTTTCACACTTTTAAACCTATCATAACAACCAATTTAATCCACTTCTATTCCGAATGGGACATCGACAGTTGGGACAGTTTGGTTTTCATATTTCCGCCAGTACTACACGCCGGCGACAGATGCTAAAGACAAATATCAAGGAGTGAATTCAAAATTAATTTTATTCTGATTTTTATCTTTTGTGTTAGCTTTGATTTTCCTTTATCAACTTTATCACCCAATTTTATGCGATCAATTTTATCATTACCAACACTGGTAAGTGGTAATATATTTATGAAATGATAGTTGACTTTTTTAAAATCGTATTAACGTATTAATACGAGTTTCGTATTAAATAAAAATTCCAGGTTTCTAATTTATAAATCAACGACGAGCGTATTCTCTCGTTTGATTATACTTGCGCTTGCCTCGCAACGAAGACTTGTTATTGTACCGTTTTTTTACATTATCCGACTTTACTACCTAGTTAGCATTTTATAATGATTATTGATGCCGACTTATTGACAATATTCCGATTACCATGCTTCATTTTACATTAAATCATTTCGCGGCCTAAATGTTATAACATTATTTGCGATAAATTTAGATCAAATATTAATTATTTGCGCATAATTTAAATACCGTACTTATATGACATGCCTTCTCCGAAAATACAAAGTTATATCGCAAAACAATGCATTTGGTGACATTTATTTTGCACTCTCGAAAATATTAATTTACCTTTCTAACTCAAGTCGACAATCCTATCGGCTAAGATTGACACAAGTTTGGTCGAGTGCCGGTGGTATTTGAGTCGACGATAAATCAAAATAAGTTGCCGCATTTGTGAAATAGTGCGAGGCATTGTGAAAACAAGGCCAAGTCCGGACAGATATATAACGATAAAAGCGGTAACAGAACATCAAGATTTTGTAATAGAAAATGGATCTCGCGCAGAATGAACATGGGAAATCCCGACATTTAGTTGTTTCTCTGCTGTCTGAATCGCTTTCCGATGCCGAAAAGACTAAGTTGCGTTGGTTCATTGCGCAATTTCTCTCTCCGTCGTCATATTGCTGTTTGATAAGCGCGACATCAATTATCACGGCATTTACAAATAGACCATGTTTGGTAAGTTGTCTCTTACATTCTTTAGTCATTTCACCCGAAGAAGTTGAAACCAGGTGTGTTGGCGTCCATCGGTCTCAACACAATTCTATCCCATATCTACGCTTAATATGTACATTTGCCATGCTAGATAAGTTGATAATAGGTTAGTAAATGGCAACGCGTTATGCCTTCTCCATCTGCGTAACAAGAGAGATAAAAACGGCTGCGAATACCGGAACTCTAACTTCTTCTACCGATTAAACTTTAATTTTTTACAATCGACGGAATTGACTGCCCGTAAAGAGAGCTCGTTTCAATCGCGAAAGCGCTCCACCAATAATTACGAATTTACGTAATTCGTAACTTCGCTTCCGTAACTCGAAATAATTCCGTAATTCCGTAAATCCGTAAATTACGTGCAAGCCTAATTGCCACAATTCATTCTTGAGCTCTCCTGATGACGAATACCCATCGCTAAGTAATCGAGCAATCAAACTATTGTCCGAATATTCAACCAGTTACTTCTAGTTTTATTTAAAATAAAGCAAATAAATTGACTGTGAGCCGCTGCAGAGTTACGTGTTGCAAAACCTTTTTTGATACCTCGGTTGCAATCCTGTATTGGAAACGAAACAGTAGCAAAATCCTCACTGGATTTAATTGTGTTTGTACATGATTTGGCATGTACATGTTTTTTTACGTGAGATGTGTGCTTTTTTACGCATAATGGTTACCCAGAACTGCATTTTATTACGCAAATATATGTTATTATTTTATGTTCCACCCATTTCAATTTTTAGCCGGCCGAAGTAATTTTTAATTGTCCGTATGTTCGGTACCTTGAATTTTCCTTTTAATGGGATGAACATATATAATTCCATAATCATGAATTTTGTATGAAAATGGTGGTTGGTCGTATAGCAACACAAATCCAAAAATTAGCTGAATTACAACTCGAAATGCTCTGATCTAAAAAGAAAAAAGTCAAGTTATAGCTGGTGCTGGCAGTGTCAGATCATCTAGTCATAGTTTTCGTCATTCAACCATGCTTTCTAGCATTAATATTTTAATGTTAATGTTTGAATTAATTTTTATTATAGGTGTATGTTTTCAAAACAAATTGTACCTCTAAATTCTGGCATTGCTTTGCAGCGTAATGTTTCAATATCGTAATATTATCATTAGTTATTAAGAGACTATTGCGGTTCCTCATACATCCGATGTTTTTCATAAACCATCTTTGACTATTTAAAAAACAAGGAAAATATTAAAAAAAAAAACATCACAGTGATTCATTCATCATTTGTGAAGATACACCACTTTGAAAGCAAATTCAAGTGAACCAGAAGATGGATTGATAAGGCACGTCAAGAAGACTATTATCAGTGAGAATTACAGGGACTGAACAGATAAAACAAGCAACGTGAACACACTAACCTTAAGAGCCATTAGACGCAACCCCAAGTTGATATAAAAAGAGAAGAGTGATGTTGAGATATATGTGTTCACGCAGCCGTGGATCGAATAACAACCTACGATAAAAGTAACAAATCTATTTTCAACGACATTCTTATTTGCGGTCCCTATTGTCTCAAACAAATACTATTTGTTTGTTTATCGTGCCTAAACAGTTGGATAAATAGTAGTAATCGCACTGCGGTATGCCAAGAATAGGAAGCATCCGAAGTTTTTCGATTTCACAACAATATGAGGAGAAACTGCTTATGTGTCACTGTTTTCGTTATCTTTGACACATTTGTACTTCCCAATAGATATTATATATATATATATTCATTTTTGTAACTGAAAAATATCGATTTGATCGCAACACAAATTCAAAGAAATATGCTAATATCACTGCTTCGAAGAAACAAGATTATACGTGATCATAATTTAATCATTTATAACTATTTTAATCAATCAGAACAACTTCTTGTTTTTTTGCAAATGGTGTACTAGTACAGGCCTGGGCAAGTTGCGGCCCGCGGGCCTCATCCGGCCCGTGGCATCATTTCATCCGGCTCGCGAAAAAATTTCTACATTTGAACACTTTATTTATTTACATGTAAAAAATACTTCAAATGTAAACGTCATTATTGTAATAAAATGAAGTGAATGAAAATGATCAGCGCTTGTTTTCTTTGCACGTGATCACTGAAAAAAAACCTCGAGTTACTGTATATTCATCGGCGACAAGATGCTAAAAACAAATAAAGGAGTGCCGTGGTATTTTAAAGGACTCCCAAAACTCTTTCCAATATATATTTGCGACCCACGTTCACTTTACAGCGATATGCTACCAGCAAGGTTATATGAATACGATGTCTGATCTCCGAAGGCTGGTCCGAATTTGGCACTCTCCAGCGTCAACGATCAATGTCGGCATTTGTAACTGCAAGCGCACGCTACTCAGTAATCAGTATTTATTTTTTCATTATGCAGAAAATTCGAACTATACATACACATATTAAGAAAATATAAAAAAAAATCGCATTTTATGGGCGAACGAAATATGTTGTAACAAAATAACACTGTTGGCATTGCTATGCACGCACGCCGCTTCTCTGTTCTTTTATGTTCTGGGCAATGTGGCGCCATAACAAAAAATAATTGCCCAGCCTTGTACTACGGCATATACCAGCAAAAGATAAAGATGCAAGGGTATCAGTTACAAAACGTCTTAACTGTTGCAGTCAGTCGGACGGTCGCTAACCAGTTTGAGTGCCTTTCCCATTGACTGTTGAATAACTCATGCCATTAATCGTCAGATTTATCAGCTTCTCTAGATGTGGCGACATTTCTTTGGTTTTAAATTCAAATAGCATAAATATCTAATTTAGGCCTACATCTTTCTCGAGGCGCAGTTATAACCATTATATGACGGCTCCTATAGGACGCTTCCATAAGTTGTTACTTCGGGGCGTGGTTGCGGCAGCTCCTGTCGTTGTTCATGGCATGTTACAAACTGACGCCATGAGATCTTACCCCATGCACTATTTTACCCGCCATGGTTTCTAATTTGCTGCCGTGATACTCTGCCACACGCCATTGCTTGTAACAGCCTAAAAGTCTCCCGCCGTGGTTTGGTCATAGCGGCATTGGTTTGACATTCCCGCCATGGTTTTACGGCAGCTTTAGACGCCACAAAGTGTTGAATAACTGCACTTGTCTTTCTATGTAGCATTAGCATCTCATCAATAGAGTCTGTTTTTAGCGCTAAAGAGTTAAAACTGAGATAACCATGGTCGTTCTCATTCAAAGGAGAATATGATAACGATAAACTGATGCCTTTGTACCAGATTCATATTTATTCAATTTATTTTATTCCGATTATTTATTATTTTTAGAATCAACTCTTCGTATTGAGTTCTAGTTTGCGAACGGGCAAAATAAATAATCAAAATTAAAAACATTTTCTATGTACAATCGATGGACCTGCTTCGTCATATTCTTGCTTTGAAATCCACATTTGTTGGAATGTTGATAGAGATGCAAGAATTGATCCTCCGATCCACACAGAATATTTTCTTTCAGGAGGAGCGATGATCTTGATTTTCATTGTACTTGGTGCAAGGGCAGTAATTTCTTTTTGCATACGATCAGCAATACCGGGATACATTGTGGTTCCACCAGAGAGAACATTGTTGGCGTACAAGTCTTTACGAATATCGATATCGCACTTCATTATAGAATTGTATGTAGTTTCGTGTATTCCAGCAGATTCCATACCTTAAATTTAATTTAATGACAATTTAAAGCAAAACGTACACTTTTATTTTATCAAATTAACGTATATGGAATATATTATGAAATGCAATGTGGCATGATTACGAAGGCTATCTCGTTAGTTTTTCTAGTGCGTACACTTTAATTTTATCAAATTAACGTATATGGAATATATTATGAAATGCAATGTGGCATGATTACGAAGGCTATCTCGTTAGTTTTTCTAGTGCTATTTCATCTCCATCGAGACTGGTCGTCAGTATTAGTTATCTATACAAGATTGAAAATAAAAAAATCGACTTACCAATAAATGATGGCTGAAAAAGAGTTTCAGGGCATCTGAATCTTTCGTTACCAATTGTAATGACCTGACCATCAGGAAGTTCGTAGCTTTTTTCGAGCGATGTAGAAGATGCAGCAGTCGCCATTTCTTGTTCAAAGTCGAGTGCAACATAGCACAATTTTTCTTTGATATCTCGGACAATTTCACGTTCAGCAGTCGTGACGA